CAGGGGTGAGCCACTGCTCCCAGCCAAAAATCAGTATCATTTCTGTACAACAATAATGAACTAGCTAAGAAAGAAATCAAGAAGATAATTCTATTTATGATATTTAAAAATAAATAAATAAAATGCCTATGAATACATTTAACCAAGAAGGTAAAAGATCTCTACAAAAAAAGGTCTGCAAAACACTTATGAAAGAAACTAATGAGGACACAAACAAATGGACAGACATCCCATGCTCATGGATAAGAAGAAGGAACATCATTAAAATGACATATTATCTAAAGTAATCTGCAAATTTAATGCAATCTCTATCAAAATACCAATGTCATTTTTCATGGAAATAGAGAAAAAATTCTAAAATTCAAATGGAACAACAAAAAAAGAGCCTAAGTATCCAAAGCAAAGCTGAGCAAAAAGAACAAAGCTGAAAGTAACACACTACCTGGCTTCAAATTATATTTCAAGATAGCAACCAAACCAGCATGGTAGTGCTGTAAACATAGACTCTAGACCAATGAAGCAGAATAGAGACCCAGAAATAAGTCTGCATATTTACAGCCAACTGATTTTTCAACCAAGGCACTAAGAGTAAACACCGTGGAAAGGACACTCTCTGTAATAAATGGTGCTGAGAAAACTGGAAATTCACATATAGAAAAATAAAACTAGATCCCTGCCTCTCACCATATACAAAAATCAACTCTAAAAGGATTAAATACAAATGTAAATCCTAAAATTATAAATCTACTATAAGAAACCATAAGAGAAATGCTCTAGGACATTGGACTAGGCAATAATTTTATGACTAATACTGCAAAAACAGGCAACAAAGGAAAAAAAATAGACAAACGGGATTACATCAAACTAAAACGCTTCTGCACAGCAAAGGAAACAATCAAGAGAGTAAAGACACACACTGCAGAATGGGAGGAAATAATTGCAAACCATTAATCCCACAAGGCACTAATGTCCAGAATATACAAGGAACTCAAAAAACTCAACAGTATTTTATATATATATATATATATATATATATATATATATATATATATATATATAATTGCACTAAAAATTGGGCAAAGGACATTCCTACACATTTCTTGTCTGTACAAAAGAAATCTGTATAAAAACAGACTCACAGACCAGTGAAACAGAATAGAGAATCCAGAAATATTATTAAGCCCGCATATTTATAGCCAACTAATTTCCAACAAAGATGCCAAGAATAAACATTGCGGAAAAGACATTCTTTTCAATAAATGATGCCAAAAAAAAAACAAAAAACTGGAAATCCATATGCAAAAGAATGAAACTAGACAACTATCACTCACAATCTACAAAATCAACCCAAAATTCTTTCTTTTATATAGACTTTCTCAAAAGAAGTCATACAGATGGCTAACAAGTTTGTTTAAAAGATACCCAGCATAATCAATCATCAGAGAAATGCAAATAAAAACCACAATGAAACGTCATTTTACTACAGTTACAATGACTATTATAAAAAAGACAAAAAATAAATGGTGACCAGAATGCATGGAAGAGGGAAGTTTATACACTCTTATGGGAACGTAAATAAGTACAGCCATTATAGAAAATAGTATGGAAGCTTCTCAAAACACTGAAGATAGAACTACCTGTACCATATGATCCAGCAATCTCGTTACGGGGTATTTATCCAGTAGCAGGCAGGAAAGGAAATCAGTAAATCAAAGTGACATCTGCACCCCCATATTTATTACAGCACTATTCACAATTGGTTGATATGGAATCGATCTAATTGTCTATCAATAGATGAATGGAGAAAGAAAATATGGAATGCATATTTAATAAAATACACTTAGCCATCACAATGAAATTGTGTCATTTACAGCAATGTAGATGGCACTAAAGATCACTATGTTACGTAAAATAAGGCAGGAAAAACAAATATCACATGTTCTTGATATATGGGATTTTAAAAAGCTGATCTCATGAAAGTAGAGTAAAAGGATAGCTCCCAGAGGCTGAAAAGATAGGGGTAGATGGAAAGTTGATTATGTGTATACAAACATAGTTAGAAAGAATAAGTTCTAGTGTTCAATAACACAGTAGGCTAACTATAGCTATATATTGTACATTTCAAAATAGCTAGAAGATTTGAAATGTTCCCAACACAAAGAAATGATAACTGTTCAAGATGATCGATACCCTAAGTACCTTTATTTGATCATTATGCATGATACATACATGTATCAAAATATCACACATACCCCACAAATACGTTCAAATATTATGCAATAATAATAATTTTAAAAAATTCAAGGGAGCCAAAAACCAGTCATGTTTTAATGCCAGGATAAGAAGGCAGTAATAGAAAAAACAGCATTTTAAAACTGACATAGTTTTCTGATATTGAAGTCTGGGTTTAAGGGAAGGTACACATTTCACTGCAGATTAGGACATTTTGAGGCTTTACATTGGTAGGAGCAGGATATTAGTGATAGTACTTATGTTGTATCAACAGTTGTATACAACCTGAGATAGAGCAGATGGTTTGAGTTTTGAGAACATTAACTGTGTGATAGATAAACGGAATTTTTGCCAAAATATTAAATATTGGTTAATAAAATATTTTCAACCAACCCCTTTTTAAAAAATTATTCCCATCAGCATAATCATTACTGTCCCTTTATGCACTTCAGAGAAAATTTATGGTGGAACCACCATTTTAACTTTGCATTTTAATTCATTTCCATGCTGCTGGAGTCCCATGAGTCCTAGATTGAATGCCACAGTTGCTGGTTCCAGGATTCAGGCAGTTTGGGTCAATCTGGAGGGTGGAGATAGGGAACCAACTATGAATCTATTTTCACAAAAGCCAGATGAATTCTGTAGCAATGAAGTCATGGCAAAAGAAAGGGCTGCAGTTTTAAGCAACGGAGATATGGGCAGCCATCAGGCGGCCCACCAGGGACTTCTAATGGGTTTGATGTAGAGGACAGCCACTTCCAGTAAGCGGGAACCTAAGGGATAAGTAATTAAATAGTAAACACTGAAAGAACAAGCTCGCAGAACGTGTGTGTGAGGAGAGGTTCCCAAAACTGTAGGAGGACATTGAGGAGTTTTATTCTAATAGACACTGAGTGAATATATATATTTTTGCATTCATTATTGTTACTCTGGTCTTAGTCTGTTGTCACCTGAAAAACGCAGATTACTTTTACATCTCTGGAAAGAATAGTGGCTTGGACACCAGATGGCACCCTCAAAAGGCACACATAAGTAGGCTTCTTGTCTCTGTCTTTAAAACAATAAGCACTTAAAGTGTCATCTGGTGAAAACAGCCGTTATCAGGAAATCACTTAGCTGAGATAAAAAGAAAAGAATCCTGTAATAGCAGTTAATCTTCAAAATAAGAATTTTCCACTCTTGGGTCAGACCAGTAAATGACATGGCATTTAGACATTGAATTCATGCCTTCCCTTGCAACTGAGCATCAGACACACATACATGGTGGAAATGTTCTTTAGCATTCCACTGCTTTCTTAGTTTGCATTGCTAGTCACCTTTGTATCATTTGCATATGATTTGGAAAATATTTTAGAACAACCCAATAACAACCTCGAGATTAAAAAAAAAATTCTACAGACTTTACAGCTCCTTTCTATTACATGAATGTGTAAATTGAATTCCCTCTCAGGAGAAAAAAACAAGGGCTGGCTTCCCAACAATGTTTTCATTGGCTTTAGGGAACTAAAACACACCAGTGTCTGGGTGAGTAATACTTCCTGTAAAATAAAGATAGATCAACACATAATTAAGTCCTGGCTGCAATATAATTGTTGTCTTGGAAACAGTTTTGGGGATAAATATGGTTATGCTAATAAAACTACCCATGATTTCCACTAATGATCCAGTTTATTAATTAGGCCAGGACATTTTTCCACCCTGTGCTATCCATTTTGGAATACTGAAAAAGGGTTAAAAAAAAAAAAAAAAAAAAAAAAAAAAAAAAAAAAAAAAACTTGTAAGAGAACGCTGTAGGAGGTAAAAAAGGGACGAATCTTAAATTCTTTATCAACTCTTGTAAGGATTCAAGTTGCAAGAGTAGATCGAAAGTGCTTTTTGGATTATCTATGGGTTTCAAAGATTCTTCCTACTCCACTCGACAGAAAAACAGAGTTGTAATAGACAGCATTTAGAATTCATAATCCTTAGCGTTATTTCTCTGAACTCGACATCCTAAATAGCCAGCGTATTCTAATTCCAGGACTGAGTGTTCAGTAGTTTTGTAGGAAGTTCTACTTAATGCTGAGACCAAAGGGGCGCCTGCCTGCTCTGAGGGTTTTGCTGAGGCCGAGTGTGAACTCCGGGCGAGAGAGCGCATCTCAGATCTTAGATCACACCCACTCGGGGTGTGCGTGCGAGTGTGTGCGCGGTGCCTGCGCGCGTGTGTACGTGTGAGGAGGTGTGCGCCAAAGGGGTGGGGTGAGGGGCGGCGAGGAGGGCTCTAGGTGAAGCGCGGGGAGAGGGAGGTCTCCCGCTCCGGCCTCTCCCCAGGGGCCCTGCGGCTGGCTCGCGCTCTGGCTGCACCTCCTGGTGCGCGCCGCGGCGGCGCCACAGGCCCCTAGACCCTGTGACCACCGCCCTCCGGCCGCCGGTCCGGCAGCCGGGACCCGTGATGGCGCGGGACTGACAGCCGCCTCCTCCCGGACCCCTGTGTCCCGCCCGGGGCTCGCGGGGGCTGCGGCGCCGCCTGGAGCTGCATGTGGGGCGGGCGCGCCCGAGCCCAGAGCGAGCGGCCCTCGGCGCCCCCGAGGCGGTGCCCGGCCGCGCCAGAGGACGAGGAGGAGGAGCGGCCGGGCAGGGCCGGGCTCCCCACGCGCCGCGGCCCCGGAGCAAGGGCTCCCCGGAGTGGACTTGGGGCGTCCCAGCCCAGGAGGAGGGACCCGGAAGCAGAAGCGGAGCCGCGAGTCGAGCGGAGCCACTGCCCCCGCTGCCCGCCGGCGCCGGGTGGGGGTCCCGGCGGCTGGATGGGCAGCGGCGGCGCGGGCCGCGGGCGGCGATGGGCGAGGAGCAGAGCACGGTGAGCGGCGGCGGCGGGCCCCAGGAGTCGCAGACCCTGACCGGTGGCACTGCGGGCCACCCCGAGCCCCCGAGGCCACAGGGGGACAGCGCCCGGCCGCCCCCGCTGTGCGCCGCCTCCGCTGAGCCGAGCGGCGGTGGCTGTGGAAGCGACTGGGGCTGCGCGGACACCAGCGCCCCGGAGCCGGCGAGGAGCTCGGGGGCCCCGAGCTGGAGGCAGAGCCGAGCACCGGCGCAGCCTGCGGGACTGGCACTCGCCGGGCCTCTCAACCCTCAGACCTTGCGACTGCAGTTGGAGCTGGAGGAGGAAGAGGAGGAAGCTGGGGACCGAAAAGAGGGAGGGGATGAACAGCAGGAGGCGCCCCCAGGCGAGGAGCTGGAGCCCGGGACCCGCGCGGGGGCCGCCGACGGACTGGTGCTGGACGTGCTGGGTCAGCGGCGCCCGCCCCCCGCCAAGAGACAAGTCTTTTGCTCCGTGTACTGCGTGGAGAGCGACTTGCCCGAGGCCCCTGCCTCGGAGCGGCTCTCGCCGCCCGCGTCGCCACTTGGGGCTCCGTCAGTGCCGAACCCTCCCAGCACCCGCTCTTCCTTCCCCAGCCCCCGGCTGTCCCTCCCAGCGGATTCCCTGTCCCCCGACGGCGGCAGCATCGAGCTGGAATTCTACCTGGCGCCCGAGCCGTTCTCCATGCCCAGCTTGTTGGGAGCTCCACCCTACTCTGGCCTGGGCGGTGTAGGGGATCCCTATGGGCCCCTCATGGTGCTGATGTGCCGGGTGTGCCTGGAAGACAAACCCATCAAGCCCCTGCCTTGCTGCAAGAAGGCCGTGTGCGAGGAGTGCCTCAAAATCTACCTGAGCGCCCAGGTAACTTCACCCACTTCTCTTCCCCGTTTATTATTCCAAATCACTGGCAAGGAGGTCCTGCTCTTGATCTGGTCTCCCTGCTCGCGGGAAGAGGTGACCGACACACTTACTAAGGATCTCTGTTGGTTTCTCACGTCTCAGTTGTTATTTAAGTGTATTTTGACCTCACTGGTTTACTTAACTGGAATTTAACTTTGCTCTGAACTTCAGGCTATCGTTGGCAGGTGTAGAAGCCACAAGGCACAAGGGGTTGCCCTCTGCTTATTTCTTATACAGAATTGCAAGCACGAGCTTGCTCAAAGGAGGAGGGCAAGAGACTGCCTCATCGGCCTGGTATCCCATAAACTAACAAGCAGTGGGCACAGAATAAATATTTATGGAGCTGGTGGAGAAAAGAATTGTAATCAATATTTCAGACCCCTAATACATGAATTGGTAATTTTGCTTCATTTCTATATTCCAGAAAAGCGTGCATGTTTTTAAAAAAATTATCCCTTGGCCTTTGCCTACTTTTCAGTTTCCTTTTTCCACAGCAAAGTACTTTTTTTCACTGAGGTTTTAAGCCAGCACTCTTTCAAAGGGAAACAAAACAGAAAGAGCAAAACAAAGCAAAGAGAGGCTAAGAGGTTTCTCAGAACAAGCACTGGTGAAACTTTCTTGATTTTATTTGAAAACTTGTTTTTTTCTTGGAAAGCTTGAGAGTGCAACAGACCAGCTTTCCTTCACGGACCGTGAATGCGTTCTTCCAGCAGTTTTCAATCTGTGATGTTTCTGCCAGTGTTTTGCACAATCCCGAATGCCCTTTGATCCTGTGTCCAATTGTCCTAGGCCTATTCATCTTTCAAAACCCTGTCTGTTCAGGTGCCAGCTCTTCTGTGAAGCGTTGCCTCACCCTCCAAGTCACTGCTTATATACTTTCACAATGTCTTACGTGTACTGCAGTTGTTTCTTTCGTGTCTGCTTGTCTTGTTGGACTGACTGTCTGGACAATGATCCTCTACCACATAGATCCTCTGTTTGGTAGCTTTATGTTGAGTCCCTTGCACATAATAATGTTTTTAATAACAGTGGCTGAGGCAAACTGACCAGAGCTCCATACCGTGTGAATCCTCTGTGTTTTGTGGCTAACCCATGCTTGGGTCTATACTGAAAGTGTATACGGTGTCCAACTGAAAATGCAAACAGAGACTTAAAACGGAATGTTACACAAACAGTAAGTTGGCTAAAATAGTTGAGATTATTTAAAAGCTACTGAAAGACTGTTTCTTTCATGCTTTAGCTAGAGATTCTTAAAACAGAAGGAATGTCTGCTGCTGGTTGTGGTAGTTTCTTTATCATCCTCAAATAGATTTTGCTGTCCTATGGTGGGATTCAGACATTTCCAAAACATGAGCCCTGCTCAAGGAAGTCACTGTGAGAGTAGATGTGTACAAAAGAACAATACAAGGTAGCAAGGGATGAGATGTCAACAAAGTAACAATTGCAGATAGCACTTCCTGTTAAATGCTGGATACACATACCAGTGGGTTTAGAAATTCAAGGGAGATAGTCATTGTGGCTTAGGATACTTTGCCTAGCAATTTGATTTCCTTAGGGTGGACCATTTCCCCAAAACAGTTTTCTTTTTCTTTATTTAACCTCTTTAGTTAGTTTTAGGAAGTTTTAGTAATGATGGTGGGGTGATAGAGGGACGGAGCCAAGTGGTCATTGCAGTGTACAGTACAACCACTAAAAACTCCTCTGCAGTGACACAGTATCTGAAGCTTGTCTGCAGCATTTCTGATTGTATGTATGTTCCTGACCTTCCTTCCAAAGCATTTGCTGGAAATTTCAATAAAGAATAATATACATTACTTAAAATAAACAGCAACAAAAAAGATGAGTCATAGATACCTTGCATGCTTTTTCACCTCAGGGCTTTTTTACATGCTTTTACCTGTTCCAGGAAAGTCCTCTCCATGGCGCGCTTATCTGCTCTCTGCCCCCCTTTTCAGGGCTATATTCAAATGTCACCCCCTGTGACTTCATTTACCACCCTTCTACAAATTGAGCCTCACCCCACACTCTATTTTTCCTGCTTTTTATTTTCTCCATAGCACTAACATACTCTGTGTTACACTTAAGTAATTAAGACAGAAGTTTTCATGTAATTCATACACTTCTGTATCTACAGTGTTGTCTGGTATGTAACAGATGTGCAACCAAAACTTACTGTATTTATGAAAGGTCTGAGATTGCCCCCAGACACCAATGCTAGGAAGTGGTGTTCTGCTTTGGCACTAAATTCTTCTCTGAGAGTCTTGATATTTAAGACAAAAAACGAAGGCTTAAAGCGGACAAAAGAAACAGGTTTGCTAAGTTTGTTATTAAACTTAGAATTAAAGAGCTTAGATAAACTTTTAGCTTATATGAAAAATAGCCTTTTTCAGTTGAGTAAAAGATGGTGCTTGTAATATTTTTGATCTACGTTAATTCTATGGTCCCGTCTACTCAAAGGGTGTGTTTATCTGTCACTTAACCTTTCTGTGCCTTAATTTCCTCATCAATGAAATGTAATTGCAGATAATCTGTAATAACACACCAGTTCCAAAGCAAAGCAAAATCAAACTGCATGGTTATTTTGCTGCCCTACTGCACTTCGTCAAAAAGGCATAGTGAGTGCCTTCTCATCTTAAATGGTCTCTTAGGTTTGACAAACAAATGTGACAAGCCTAAACCTTCAGGGCTCTTAAAACCTTTGAAACAAAATGATGTATTTGAAATAAAGAACTATTAGTGACTCTTTTCACCATTTCTTTTAGTTTGTGCCACATAGTGCATTATTTAACATCCTTTAAGCAAATAAAAGAGTCCCTATTAAACATTTTATGCAAACATTAAAATGCAACTTAAATGTGAGTTGGACTATTGCCTGGTTAAATGAATATTTTTCTAAAATGAGATGCAGAGTTCTTTGAAAGAAGATATTAACTTGGAAGATAGAAATGTGGATTTTTAGACAGCAAGTATATTTTCATTAGTGCTGTGGACTAATTTGTGACAAATGCCATTCGGTAGGTGTCATCAATATTTCAATACAGACATAGCAGATTAGATGATGACTTAAGTACCTCTATGCTGTGTAAAATTATGGTTTTATTTTTCAAAACATAGTTCTCCAGTTATTGCCATGACTGTGGCTAGGGAGTCCTTCTTAGTGGACTAACTTTCCGTGCAATAGGTGCCATCTGGTTTCTGACTGCCATGGTGAAGGGGTATGTACTGATAGATTATAAACCTTTAGCACCACAGAAGATGTTGATTTAGAGGCTGTAGAGCTCCAGGGCAGAGATAGTTATATTATTTTATATTTTATTGCTCGTGTACATAAATCTCTGGCACATACATTTTAGAAGTACATTTCCCAGTGACCTGTCTATGCATATGTGAATATGGCTAAAGCACGTAGTTCCAGGGATGTCTGCAATATCCTGTATGTCCCTTATCCCTTCTACTATTGGCCTTCTAAGCTGGCTTGACCTTTATCATATTTTCCCCGAGGAAATGTTATCTGTTGCCTTCTTTGTTTCATAGAATGATACTAGGTTCATTTCAGAAATCCTCCGCAGATACCTTTCTTTTATGATTTGGTTTAGACAGAATAATTGTCATAAATATGAAATATTAATATTTAGTATTTTAGTTGAAGAAAGGAAGAGAAATGAGGCTGCCAAAGACTTGGTAAAGGTGACAGCTGTTGTGGATTCCACCACTCTGCCTAAAAGTGCTCAGGATTGGCAGATGCATGTAACTTGGAATGTATACACCTGTCCAATGAGTATTAATAGAGACAGGCAACACATTGCTTCTACAGATTGTGAACAAAACAGCTGCTAGATGATAAAGTCCTAAAATGACTGTCTGCTGTAGTCACCCTAGAATCAGTGACCCAGAGGTGAAAGCTTATGTATCGTAGTATCAAATTATGAGTCATCCAGATCTTCATGGGTAAAAGTGTAACACAATTTTTTTTTTTTGAGTGGAGTCTTATTCTTGTTGCCCAGGCTGGAGTGCCATGGCACCATCTCAGCTCACTGCAACCTTTGCCTCCCGAGTTCAAGTGATTCTCCTGCCTCAGCCTCCCCAGAAGCTGGGACTGCAGGCACAGGCCACCATGCCCAGCTAATTTTTTGTTTTTTTTCAGTACAGACGGGATTTCACCATGTTGGCCAGGCTGGTCTTGAACTCCTGACTCAGGTGATCTACCCGCCTCAGCCTCCCAAAGTGCTGGGATTACAGGCATGAGCCACCATGCCGGGCCCCATAAATTATTTTCCTTTAAACCTTAAAGCACTCTGCATATTTTTAGAAACTACTGTGTTCAGTATCGAGTTTAAATGCAATGGTCTTCACCCAGGTGAATTTACAGAACCTGTCATGCCCGACATGGTTTCTGTAGTTCTGAAAATGTGAAGAATAACATGAGACTGAAATCTGTTTCGAAGTCACTCTACAGATTTGACAAGAAGGAATTAAGGCATATTTAAACTTGTCCTTCTGCATGCAAAATGTGTGTGTGTGTGTGTGTGTGTGTGTCTTGGGATGCAGTAACATTTGCTTTCATGCCTTAGTGACTCATTCCATTGTTTTTGTCCACTTTCTACATCATTTCTCTTCAATATTGTTTCTTTTTTCTTTCCATTGTTCCTTTACTTTTTGAAATCTGTTTGTGATTGGCATTTGATTTCTCTAGCGGAATCCTCTGTTAAATGCTAAGCCTAGAGGCCAGCAGGACTTTTTCCGAGGCATGCTGCATGAGTATTTCCTTTCTCTTCCAGCTGTCTGGAGATGAAGCTACATAGAGAAACCCTGCATTGCGTTCCACTGCCTAAAATATCTCAAATAACATTACAAATACTACTGACCTAAGGCATCAGCTGATAGCTTTTCAGTGTGATTTTCCCTCCTAAAGTGGAGATCAACTTTTATACCTGAAGGCTCTTCCTTACTCCTGATACAAA